CAGTGCTATGAAGGTTTTAGTGGGGTTTATCCAGTACAAGAGATTGAGGGCATCAAAGTGCAATTAATGGAAATGCAGAATGCAAGATTTGATGGTGAGAGAATGAGAGGTGGATTGGAAGATGTTTTATGGGGAGATAAGCCATCCGCCTGTGTATTGCGGCGATTAAAGACGCGACAGAAGACAATGACTATGATGAAGTTGGACGTACATACGGATGTGGGAGGGTATACGATGGGACAGAGGTTAGCAACTACGGAAAGTATGAGTGGTTATGCTGATAAGTGGTTTGAAATATATATGAGAGGGGGAAACAGGAAGATAGCAGATATGAAGATTTTAGAGAAGGGGATACAGAGAAACCTAGAGTCAGCAGATAGAGCGATGATGGCCTATAGATGAAGAGGAAGTGTGGACGGCTTTAAAAGGGATGAGTGTCGGGAAAGCACCTGGGATAGATGGAATCCCAAATGAATTTTATTTGAGCAACTGGAATGTTATGAAGGAATTCTTGGTGCAGTTGATGAATGTAATGAAGGATAAGGGAAGCATGAGTCTAACACAAAGGACAGGTGTAGTAGTTATGGTTCCAAAGGGGGAGGTACAGAATAGCATCCTAGATTATAGAGGTTTATCATTAATGTGTGGGGATTATAAATTGTTTGCCAGGGTGTTAGGTAATAGATTGCGTAAAGTAATTGGGAAGGTTATAGATGGGGGACAGATGGGTGTGCCAGGGAGAACAATGTTTAGTGGGCATGGGAGGATAAAAGGTTATATAGAGGAGCGTAGGATGGATGGTGGAGGTGTTCTTGCTTTGGATTGGAAGGCGGCTTATGATTGTGTAGAGACACATTATGGATGATTATGAGGAGGATGGGGTTCGGTGAGGAAATTGTGCAGTGGGCGGAAACTTTATATAGAGATGCAGAAATACGAGTGCAAATAAATGGAAGGGTGGGGAAGATGGTTAGTATGGGTAGGGGGCTGAGGCAGGGATGCCCCATGTCTCAGATCCTATTTGCATGTATGCAAGACCCATTATATAGGTTGATAAATGTAGGAGTAAGTGACGGGGAGGTAAGACTTAGGGGTGCTACGGGTATAGTTGGTTATGTGGATGACACTACGGTCTTAGTGGGGGGAGAGGAGGGGTTAAAGAATGTAAGTAGAATTGTTGAAATATTTAGTGGAGCAACAAGTATGAGTGTTAATAGTGAAAAGTCGAAATTACTGGAGGTGGGGTCATGGGTGGGAGGGGAACTGGGAAAAAAGTATGGATGGCAGGTAGTAGAGCAGATAAAAATTTGTGGAGTATTGTACAGAGGGGCAGCGCAGGGGGCTAGAGAGGCAAATTCTAAAAGGGTAGTGCAAAGAGTATTGCTTAGGTTAGGGGGAATAAGACCGAGTGGTTTGACTATACAACAGAGAGTCATTGTAGTTAATACACTCATTTATCCTAAATTGTGGCACGTGGCTGTGGTGTACCCCTTGATGGCGAAAGACGTGCGGCAAGTGCAAAGGAAAGTACTGAATTTTATATGGGGTTATGGTTGTCATTGGCTGAGGCAAACGGTTGTAATAACACCGCTGGCAAAGGGGGGTTTAGGTTTAATTCCTTTGGATAGCAGAATGAAGAGCATGTACGTGAAGCATTGTTATCTGAGATTGGGTGGGGAACGTGGTGTCAGAGTGAGGGATGTGATGGAAGATGTGAGGCGATGGTAGGGGGGTAGAGGAGTGTATGAGTATGTTGAGATACTTATTACAAGTAAGAAATCCGGAAAATGTAACGGCGTGTGCTTTGGGGAGGTTGGTAAGGTGTCAAGAAGTGTTGGAAGGGGAGACTGTTTTTCCATTATATAATTGGACACGAATCTGGGGAGACTTCAGTAAGTTACGAGTGAAGTCAAGGGTGAGGGAAACTATGTATAGGTTTATACATGGGATTTTGCCAACTAAAGTACGACTGTATCAGATGGGAATTTTGCAGTCTCAATGTTGTGTTTTGTGTGGGGGGGAGGAAACAGCATATCATGTGGTGTATTTCTGTGAGCATATCGAGAGGGCACGTCTATGGTTTCGCAGTGTGTTGGATATGGTGGGTGGGAGTAGGTTAGTGGTATTAAGGGCACTGAGTTTGGATATAGAGGGAGTGGGAGATAGTGTGAGGAGGGCCGTCATGTATTTAGTGGTAGATTATGTCAAGCTGGCACTGGACAAGCACCTAAAGTCGGTTCCTGACCAGCCGAGCTGTGGCTCGTACGTTGGTTTGCGTGCAGCCAGCAGCAACAGCCTGGTTGATCAGGCTCTGATCCACCAGGAGGCCTGGTCACAGACCGGGCCGCGGGGGCGTTGACCCCCGGAACTCTCTCCAGGTAAACTCCAGGTAAATATATCGTGGGTGATGAGGGAGGTGGGGGGGGAGGAACGAACAAGGGCTTTAGCAGGACATTTCTATAAAACAAAGTGTATAAATGAGGTAGTGTATGGACGTAGATGGGCTATAGATTTTCCGGTATCGTATAGAGGTATGACTGAGAGGGTTGAGCGATTTAGTGATGTAATGGCTGGGTGGACTGGTCTCTGTAAAAGGGGGGAGGGAAAAATGAATTACATGGATATAGAATATCATGATTATTAAGCATTGTTTTCCTGAGAAGCGAGAGGCGGCTTGTCAATTCGATTAGGGGCTATAATGTTGTATTATTAACCATAGTGTGTGAAAGAGCAAGTCTAAAATTGCTCTGAAACATGTCAATAAACATCTAGAATTTGTTGAACAAGACAATACGTGTTTAATAATATACATTCTTGGTATATGTAATACAAGTGTGTATTTCAATATCCAGTGTACAGTTATCATATTGTTTGACATTGTTCATTATAGTAAAGTAGTGTTATTATTCATATATTGTCATAAAGTATAATAGTTGTCATTATTTTAAAAGTTCTTTGAATAGTTTTAAGATGATGTGGAGTCTATATTTCAGGTCAGCTCATAGATAAACGTTTAAGTGTATTGTGAATATGTAATTTCATTTATTTCTGTGGAGGACCTGCTAAGGCTTCTTTTATTTATTAATGCATTGCAATGTTTTAATCTAAAAATGAGAATGTATGGAGTATATAAAACAGTTAAAGTACATGTTCACCATTGTGGTTTAGCGCAACTTTTTGAGTATAATAATAACAATAACGTAAATGTTGGGGGGGGGGGGTGAGTCACCAGTATTGTAAGTGCTTTGTGTCATTTTACATTATGAAAAAAACAGTAATGGAAGCACTGTGTATTTTGAAGTAGTGTGTTAGTTATGTAGTTAGGTGTATATCAGAATCATTACGAATACTGTTACTTAGTGGACCGGAACAGAGCCTATGTATATTGTATGAACTGCTTTAAATAAAATATAAAAAAAAAATCCAATACCTTAGATAAAGAGCTTTTTCCAACAGAGGCAATCTCCTTTACCCACCTCCACCTTGAGAGGCTCCAAGGCATGATGCTATTATCTGTTGGATACCTGGAGGGGATTTCCCTAATGTTTTCCAACCGTACCGGAGGAGCTTCGAACTCCGGACCTCAGTGTGTGAGCTGAGTGCACTAGTGATCGAGCTACGGGACACCTATGTATGTTGGGAGACAGTTGAACAGTCTTGGGCCTCTGACACTTATTGTATTGTCTCTTACCGTACTCATGGCGCTCCTGCTTTTCATTGGGGGGATGTTGTATCTCCTACCGAGTCTTTTGCTTTCGTAGGGAGTGATTTTCGTGTGCAGATTTGGGACTAGTCTTCCCAGGATTTTCCAAGTGTATATTATCATGTGTCTTTCTCGCCTGCATTCCAGGGAGTACAAATCAAGGGACTTCAACCGTTACAGTAACTTGAGTGCTTTACCGTACTCATACGTGCTGTGAAGCTTCTTTGTATACTCTCAAGGTCCGCAATTTCGCCTACCTTGAAAGGGGCCGTTAGTGTACAGCAATATTCCAGCCTAGAGAACAAGCGATTTGAAGAGAATCATCATGGATTTGGCATCTCTTAGGATGGATAATCCATCCTATCATTCTCCTAGTAGATGTGGTAGATACATTGTTGTGATCTTTGAAAACAAGACTCGGGCATTATCTTTTACAAGGTCTATTTCTTGACTCATTCTCCAGTTTTGCAGATTTGCATATCTCATTTTTGGGAAAGCGTTAATCCCATCAGGGTCATACAGCACTCTGGAGAAAGGGAAGCATTCAGGTTTGATCCAGGAAATGGGAGGGCAGACTTATGGCTCGTTCCGAAATTCTGTAAATTTTCAGTTTCGTGAGTCACTACGTTATTGCACACTTCACAAATTTACACTATCCGCTGAATGATAATCTTTAGTGTTCTATGCCGCCTTATAGAACACAAGAATGAAGGAACACTGCTATAGGCATATTGGTCCAGGCTAGGCTAGGATAGTTCAACTCGCACCCAACCACATCCATTCATTTATCCGTCCAATTTATACTCGTATTAAAAGCTACCCAAAGTTCTTGTTTTAATAACGCTACCTAGAAGTCTGTTCCACTTATATACAACTCAACTGCCAAACCAGCACTGTATTCTTACTAAATTTAAATTTGTCCAACCTGAATCCATTCTTGGGAGTCCTGCCTTCGTTAGCCATCCTCAAGACGGTATTTATATCTCCTTTAGTCCTGTTTTCTATTTTTACACATATACCCTAATTCTGCACCTTTTCAGAGTGCAAATTTAGTGTCTTCAGCTGTGGGCCTGTAGCCCACACCTGTATCAATTGTATGATGTACTTCGTAGTCATCCCTCATCCTCATCTGCCAATAATACCTAACCTTCACTTGTCTCCTACGGTACACTAGTTTTACCACGCCACCACCAAGCGAATATGTAGCAAAAAATAGTGATCATCCTATTACCAAGACCCATATCAGGTAATTTCGCCCTGACGAAGAAACCAACAAAATTTTTTAAAATTGTATTACCGTGTCCTGGATGTGCATGTCTGAGGGGCGAGAGCTAAGGAGCCGGGTGATAATTTCGCTCATGAGGCTTCGTCTCGTGGTACCCAGAGGCACGGCAGTCACCATTGTCAGCACCGCCGTTAGCACCATCATCTTCATCACCAGAGTCATGATTCTCCTACCTCACACTTTCACAGGCGTGATTATCAGGCTAACGAGTCACCCAACCACCACTCACTGAATGATTGGGTTGTTCTACCCCACCTGCAACAAAACATACATTAACACGTTATTTAAACTCTGATGAACGATCACTTATATAAATAAGACATTCGAATCAAAATTAAGCATCTGATAAAATCACAGGGAATGGAGTGTAGGGTTTACAAAACGCAGAGACCGAAAGGTCATTTCAGGGTTCTATACATTAAAAACCATACAGTCACAAATTACGCACTACCACACCGATAAAATTTGCCCAAAGAACAGTATGCATGATGCTGGTCCATATCAAACTTTGGCAGGTTGCCCCAACATCACTTAAAAAGATCTTTTCGTACGGAATCGTGCCCAATGTTAAGTGGTATGCCTGAAAGTTGATAATTTTCATGTAGGTTAACATTGTAATAAAGTTGGTAGAATTACCGACAATATGTAAAGTAAAAGAACACAAGTGCAACTAATGTGACATTTTATTGTGGCAACGTTTCGCTCAGGAGCTTTATCAAGCTTTTAATGGCTTGAGAAAGCTCCTGGAGAGCGAAACGTTGCCACAATAAAATGTCACATTAGTTGCACTTGTGTCCTTTTACTTTACATAGGTTAACATTCTTCTGCAATTTTATGCCGAAATATATTTTACACTGCAATATATTTTCTGCATGTTAACACCCAAAAATGCAAATTATCAGTATCTCTAGCTGACGTGATTACGAGACTGCTGCAACACATGCTGCCAAGAATACGGAGATACTTTATAATTAATAAAATTCTCTTAAATGTATTATAGCCTTCCTGTTGGAAAGTCTTTTAATAAAATTTAAACTGCTGTAAAAGCTAACAAGTGCCATTTTCTACTTAGAAATGCTTGTTCAGCATTAAGGTGCTCCCGCCAGCTCATTTATATTCACCAGGAAAGCTTATCAACTCGTGACAAGCACTACACTGAATTATTATACAGATTGATTTATCAGCCTGTTATCGCTGCCTGAGAATTATGAGTGAAATTATCTACTGCTACAAGTTAATGGGCGAAAATAAACATTACTTATTGATCACTTGGGATTTTTTTTACTATTGTAAGATGTCTTAAACAAAATATAATACCAATATATATATATATATATATATATATATATATATTATATTATATATATATATATATATATATATGTGTTTGTTGTGTGTGTGTGTGTGTGTGTGTGTGTGTGTGTGTGTGTAGTAATGTTAAAAATATTAAGGAAACTTCTGGCTCACCCAAGATTAACAATCCAGTCAGACTGATAAGTCCCTAGTGACCGAAAAGTGCCCCTAATGAACTTAACGTTTCATAGTAGACTTATAAGAAAAAAAAACTAGAGTGGAACAGTGACCATTGTGCACCAACACAAATAACGTGTAGTGATTAAGTATTATTATTATTATTATTATAATCAAGGGGGAAGCGCTAAACCGGGGGATTATACAGCGCCTGGGGGGGGGGGGGATGTGGAAGGCATTCAGGCTTAATTCGGGGAACTGGAGCACAGATCAAATTCCCTAAATCAAGAGCCCCTCACCAACATCAAGGAACCTTCCTTGAGGGGTTAAGTCAGCTCAACATATTCCTTCTACAGTCCTCTCAGTGGCCCCTCGGCTATGATATGTGTACCTTAATTCATTACACAAGATACTGCGACATGCGAAATATGTCGAGTGAAATCAAGTTTTGCCCTATTTGTTATATTTGAAGCATAATAGTGTGAATACTACAAAGAGTACATACAAGCAGCAATCTTTTGATTGTTATAATGTAGTTACGGGAAGGCTTCCGAGATATCAGTAATAGCGAACATGGTCACGGTTTGAGCACTGAAAATATTTTGTACATTTCAAATATAAAAATTGTAAGTAAAGCAGCTTCATTTCTCAATCGTCAACAGTATGTCAACAGGTTCTTGTGTTACACTGATATTTGTTTGATTTATAAAGCATCTTGATATTCAGTTTCATTCGCATTTAAAGTCGATATTAATATGCATAGATGTTATTATTTGTCGTTTGAAGCCTGCAAAACAGGACCAAAACAGTAACCTCATTCGGTTCTTGCCTCACTGAAATGCCTATTACTAGTGTTCTGCATCTGAATTAACAGTGAATATTAATGTACGCAAGACCTTATGGGAGATCTTATTTTTGTCCGCTATTAGGCATCCCCGAAAGGGTATACCTATAGATGAATATTTATTTCCTCCAAGGTTTCCAATCGATAACCTGAGAATGCCTCTTGTGATGGCTTCAACTTTTCAACATAGTATGTACTAGAGGAAGTGCTCATTACATCCAGACAGGCATAAAAGTATATTATTTAAAATAATTTTATAATCACAAAGGACTAAGGTTATCTAACCATATAAAGGAACTGATAATTTCAAGGTTAAATGTAAGTATTCTTTTATAAGGAAGTTAAAATTAATTAGCACCTAACAAGTGAAGCTCAGAAATGGAGTGACTTATTAATAATGGAATGTTATGTACACTGGTAAACTTGCATACGAAACTTGGATCCCAGATTTTATTTGTAATAATTTGTCTATTGTTTGTTACTTTGTATGGCAACATCTGTGTTTACGTTTTTCGTCTACCCTTTACTGATTTTTCTTGATATTTGCATCAACTCGATGAATACGGAAATTCATGGGGATGGGGGGTAATTGCTAAACCCGTAGGGTTATATAACGCATGGGACAATGAGAAGTAATTAGGTTCGATCCAGGGAAAAGTGTCAGGTTCAATTCCTTTGATCAACAGCCCTCTTGAGGAGATTAATATAAACATACTATAAACGTGCTAGACCGGCAGGGTTCAGTTCACTGATAAGTGATTCAACCTCGTCAGCTAGAGCAACAACCTCGCCCAACTGCACACTACATGAAAAATAATATGCGTAATTTATTATTATAATCATGGGAAAGCGCTAAACCCGTAGGATTATACAGTACCTGTGGGGAGAAGATGGAAGGTATTTGGGCTTAATTCAGGGAACTGGAGCACAGATCCAATTCCCTAGATCAAGAACCCCTCGCCAGCATCAAGGAACCTCCCTTGAGGGGTAAGCGCTAAATGTTAGGCTCATACACTTACTGGGAGGTACACTGATCAACAACCAAAATGCTTCCGAGACCAGGGTAACAATTTCCAACTAATTTTAGGTCAATAATAATGAATATCACGGTTAAAATTGTTTGTAAGCTCTACTTTTCAATATACACCTACGTGTCACAACAGGTTCCAACAGGCTTGTGGCAGTGTTTTTCTTACCACACTCAGTCTCATTGCCCTTCATTATTGTTCCTGCAGTCATAGGTGGTGGTTGTGATGTGCAAGTTTATATTTTGAGGTTAAATGTAGGTGATTTTCTTAGCGAAACACTTTTCAAAGTTGTATAAATATTCACTGAGCAAGCTATTGATATGCATGTGAGGCATACATTAATTTTATTTTCCTACTGAATGATATAAATACTTTTGCCTAACTGTCATGCTCTGTATTATGATGATAAATTAATGAATAAATTTTCTGTCTATCTTCTGTTTGTCGTTTTCTTCTTCCAGATGCCTCATACTTGTGTGATATATAGGGCAGACAACTTCTGCTACATTGTGGTGAGGTGACCTTTGCATCACAGAAGCACCGTATAACTGCTATGGTTAGAAAGGCATATCATTTATATTTTGGATGCAAGATTGGTGACCAGGATAAGAACTGGGCTCCACATATATGCTGCAAAAATTGTGCTGCTAACCTTCGCCAATGGTTGAACAGGAAGAGGAAAGGAATGCCTTTTGCTGTGCCAATGACATGGCCCGGTGGCCTGGTGTGGCCCGGTGGCCTGGTGTGGCCCGGTGGCCTGGTGGCTAAAGCTCCCGCTTCACACACGGAGGGCCCGGGTTCGATTCCCGGCGGGTGGAAACATTCCGACACGTTTCCTTACACCTGTTGTCCTGTTCACCTAGCAGCAAATAGGTACCTGGGTGTTAGTCGACTGGTGTGGGTCGCATCCTGGGGGACAAGATTAAGGACCCCAATGGAAATAAGTTAGACAGTCCTCGATGACGCACTGACTTTCTTGGGTTATCCTGGGTGGCTAACCCTCCGGGGTTAAAAATCCGAACGAAATCTTATCTTATCTTATCTTAGAGCCAACAGACCACACCAACAACTGTTATTTCTGCATGGTACCTCCAGTACAAAAGGGCTTGTCAAAGAAAAGAAAAAGGGGGGTCCATTGAATACCCAAACATTCCATCAGCTATTCGCCCGGTTCCACATGGAGGTCTACTTGTTCCTGATTCAACAACTTTGGTATCCTTCGAGTCAGATGAAGAAAGTGGCGAGGGATTCAAGCATTTAACATCAAAATTCCGCTCACTGAGCGACGCTCAGATGGTCCTCAGATTCCAGGGCCTCTTAAAGATATTGACTTTGAATCAGACCTTCATGGGGAGGAAAAAGCTGCTTGGGAAACATTTAAGTTAATGCGAAGGGATTTCTCGGAAACAAAAGGGAAGGCAACTGTGAAGAATTGGTGGAAAACCTCATCAAGGGTTACAAAAACATGGGATGTAACATGTCACTTAAAATCCACTTTTTTGGACCCACATTTAGACTTTTTCCAGTGAACTGTGGGAAGTTAGGGACGAACATGGTGAAAGGTTTCACCAAGATATTTTAGCCATGGAAAAATAGTACAAGGGTAAATGGGGCACAAGAATGCTTGCAGACTATTGCTGGACATAGGCAAGGGATGATTCTTCAGCCTACTATAAGCGTCAAGCAAAAAGGCAGAGAGTTGGTACGGATTCGAGTTTAAAACATACTGACACATATTGTACGTTATAATAAAATAAATATTACGTCTCGTATATTTAAACTTAAAGCTAATAAGCATGCTTCAATGTGATATTTGGATTCAGGACATGAAAATACTTAAGAATTAGCTAGTCTCATTTAAGAAGCACACAACTTTTCAAAAATTGTTGATCAGTGATAGGTTAGACCCGAGG